AAGAGGAAGTTTTTGACAAGCGAAGCATGAAGTGTCAGTATTGACAAGTGATAGTTTTTTGATCTACGAAAACAATATTAATTTTGTTTCAGCGATATTTATTGTGATTTGTGTTGTTGTATTAAGTGCTTACTTATTCAATATGGGAAACAAAACGTACAACAAACTCAGAAAAAGAGGAATCAAGGAGGGATTGCTATGGCTGCCATCCAAGGCTCTCCGCCCTAGATAATACTTTTCCAGTGGGAAAAGCCTTTAAAATTCAAGTATAACAATTTTAGGTGCCAATTTGGAGGTAAATTTGTAATAATTTTTCATATTTTTTCAGTTAATACCTACCCTCTTAATATTATAATTTAACTAAGATCTTATGCTTTCCTATGGACACGATTCAAGGAGGGAGTCCTATGGCTGTCATCCAAGCCCTAGATAATAGTTTTCCAGTGGCAACAGCCTTTAAAATTCAAGTATAATAATTTACTGTTTCAGTTTTTCTCCTTTTTTCGAAGTAGGTGTCTATTTAAACTAAATTTTTTTATTTCACTTAGCGCATTAGTTCGATCAGGAAACGAATAATATGAATGTTGCCTTGTGTGCTGTGTAATATGAACAGGCACACGGTGTGATGCATCCTCACGTAGCCGGCTGGCTACGTTCATAGTATTCTATTCCTTCTCACACTAATGCTAACACTTTGTAGTTTTTACTTGGACATTAGCAAAACGTATTGTACAACATTCGATAGCGGTCACTGTATTATCACAAACATCTCTTAATAAATAAATGATTTCATTTAATAGTTTCTTTTTTTTTTCAGTAAAATGGATATGGCTAGAGTTATCCTCGACTTTAAAATAAATTAAATGATTTTTATAATTTTTCAAATAAAATACTTTATTCAATTTTTTGTTTTTTTTTAACCAGAGCCAATTTTTTTTCAGATCTAACCTCTATAGGTAACATATAAGTGGTTCAGGTAAAATTGAAAAGTTTATTACATGTTCTTTTAAATGTGTTGTTAATCCAAATGCTGTTCTTATTGTAATAGCTAACAATAAGGAATTAGTATTATTTTTAGCTATCAAAATAAAAATAGCGCCTGGATTTACAGCTCGTTTAATCGAACATGCAATATACTTCTCAATTATTGCCGAATGAATATATTTAAAAATTACCGCCATTCCGCTGCTGGAAATTTACGATTTTGGCGGGAAATTTAAATTTCGCCTTAAAATTATATTTGAATTTACCGCCATTTCGAGTTAGTTGAGCGGCCAGACACATACGCATGTTTGCGCTGCAAACTTAGTGCCAACTCTTTAACAAGTGAGATGCACTACTATAGGGGATATATTGTGCCTCAGTCACCTCTTCGTTCAAAACTGGGTCTATGTCGCGACCCTCTTAGATAAACCAGCCCTTATAAATTTGATGTTGATAATAACTTTTGGAGATTTTATATAAATATTAAACATATTTTAAAGGTAAATTGTTTTTCTGTTACCATTCCTAAACAATCTCCAACATGTTCTACTTACATAAGTTAAAAGTTACCTACATACCAAAATTCCAATTTGTATTTCCTTAATTATACCTACCTATAGTATAAGAAGTAATCTTGTAAAATTATTAAATGGGTTGATAAATAAAAAACTATTTAAATGTTTATTTGTAAATATATTTAATATAAATTTTCTTACATAAAAAAGTTAGGTTAGGTTCTCAAATTACGATTTACAAGTTAACTAAAATCATAGATTTTTGTCATTACGTAAATTCATATATATAGATAAGATTTATTACAAATTTTAGTTCTTAAAAATGTTAACATTCAAATAATTTTCAAAAGTGCCACCATACTGTGTTATTTATCCGTTTATCAATTTGAATCATTATTTTCTCAAATATTTCATTTAAAACACCATAAAATCAAAAAAAAAACATAATCCACGTGAAATTGACGTTTAATATTGACCTTACTTTTGAGTTGTGCTATCTGATGATACCACTTTGCCTATTATCCCTCATTTCTAAAAATGGAAAATTATTATAAAAGAACAAAATTATTTAAAACTTTGACACCTTGTATTTTTTTCTCGGAAATATTTTACTGGGATATATAATCCAATCCTCATATTTTGATCCAAATAATCTATGGTTTTAGTATGTCCAATTAGCTTCGGTCCGCCCTGTACAGCGTTCAAGTTGGTGATCATAAATAAAATATGCGAATCTTATAGGGCATTCGACTCAAACGCTCTTGCTTGATGCCAGAGCAGTTTTAGTTATGTACTCTTTTCGGGCAGCATTTTTGCAATTCGAAATTAAATCGAGCAATGCATGCTCCGAGTGCGAACCAGTTCGCTAATGGCGATATTCGACTGGTACAGTTGGCATTTCTATTTTCTAACCTAATTTAATATCTGTATTTTTTAAAGTGGTAGCTACTTATACACTTGTGGATGGGCTTCCACAGTGTGGTTAAATCTTTTTTATAAAAAAGTCTGAATTTTCAAATTTGGTTTTAAACATTTCATATAAATATTTGTTCATTTTAATATTTCTTTTAAACTGTAAAAAGCTTAAAATCTTTATTTATTAAAGTATATAAAAGTAATAAATTTAATTTGCCTTCTTTCAGAATATGTTCCCACATCTTCAACTTATCCTAAATATCAGTTTTTCCTGCCAATATGAACACCAATATCTTCATCTTCCCTACTACTGGATAATAATAAAGATAATGTTGACATATTTTTAAAATAAATTGAAAATAAAACATAACGACTTAACCTCTAAATCGGCACTGGCTGGCACTGAAAAAAAGTACAACAAAAAATTCCAACTTTGAGCAAGCGCTTCTACAAGTCGAACCAAAATTTAACTCTGCCCTTGTACCTACCCAGACAGCACACCAAATCCTTTGGATATCTACTGAACATCCCAATATCCACTGAATGTCCAGTCCATGGTGGATATCTATTTTATATTCATGCAAATGGCCATAAATAATAGTAATTATATAGCAAATTATTAAAAAATTACGCCATTGTGCTCGCCATTGCGGCTAATAGTACCGTTCAGATATTTAAAATTAATTTTTTTAAGGTGTATTCAATATCTCATGGACATCCACTAAATATATCAAAGTCTAAGCGCGGACGCAAACCATCGAGGATATCCACAAGATGTAATTTTTGATTTCGCTTCCTAAGTATAGATGGCGATACCACTTTCGTATCTACTCATGCTTAACCCGCCGTAATTGAGTTCGATCGAAATTATTTTGATAAGCAGACTCCATTAGAGGCTGGAGTCGAGAATTTCCATTTATTGCTGAAGATTCCTAATAAGGATGACTTTCTCCTTAGTGGGCAAAATCAAATGCAGATTGTTGGAAATATTTTTTAACTTTATTTTCTTTCGACGTTGTTCAATAATCATTGGTTAATTATGAACCTCTACTAAAGATACCTATAAAGTATTTTTTCTACACCCGTATTATAATAATGCACTTATATGCCCATAATCCGTTTCATAATGATACCCATTATGATACAGATTTTTCATTACGATACAGATTTTTAATCAATAGAAACCTACAATTTTTCAATCAAGCATGCTGTTTGACGTTTGTCCTAGGTTCCTATGTAATTATTTTAGTTGTCAAAACGTATTAAATTTTCGTAGGTAGCTAAACTTCGATAATTATAATATTAAAATGTCTGATATTAGCGATATAGAAGACTCCTCCACACATATCGGAGAAAGCAGAAAATACAGTACAAAATATTTTACCGCAAAAATCTAGGGAAATACCAATACCTGAAGTAATACCATTAATTACAATTTTGTAGAATTTTTTATAGAAATACGAGTAATTACTGTTATTGTGTTCAATACCAATATAAATATAATATTTATAGGTCTTGATTATTTATCGGGTGTAGAAAAAATAGCGTATGCAACTCTCATGTAATGGTTATTAAAACACTCGCATAAACCATACGAAACTCGCCTTTGGCTCGTTTCGTATCCCGGTTAATGCTCGTGTATTAATAACCATCATTACATGATCGTTGCATAATATACTATTGCTGAATAGCTGAATTCTATATCCTGGGATAAAGACGGACAAAATATATTCTGTGGATATTTCAGGGATTTCTTGTATTGTCTGGAAGATACTCATTAGATATTTCTGAATATATCCATGGATATCTTCTATATACTGGATATAGACGGACATTTGGATATCCATATTAGATCCACGGAATATTTCTGATATCCTGTGGATATATTGGATATTCACAAAAGATATTCTGTGGATATCTCTGGGATTTGGTGTGTTGTCTGGGTAGCAATTCCAGTCAAATGCAAAAATTGGTTTAGTTTAACCAGTCGAATATAATGCACGTAAAAAAGTCGAATTAAACGTGCACCAGTGCGACCAATCAGATGTCTCAAAAGTTTTGGCACAAATCGTCGTCAGTCGCACAAACTGACGTATCTCAAAAAAGTTTTTGAGATACGACTGTAGAAACACTTTATTTTTACAGATCGTCCTTCTCACAAAGTGGCGTAACTCAAGCTGTAACCATTAGAAGCTTCCGCAAGGGACGTAACTCCTTACCAAACACAGCACAAAACTTTAAATTATTTTCCTATAAAATTAGGAAAAAATGTAATAGGTCACTTTATGAAACTGACGTCGAAATGATAAAGCTCAGAAAGATGCCTTAAGCTCAAATAATTCGACTTTTTATAATGAAAATTATAACGAAGAACCGATATATATATATATAGTTCGTCGTGATAGTAGAATGTGAGCAAGGTTAACGAGGAAAAATTATTAAAACCGCTGGCAATTAAACCTATTCTAAAAAAATTTCCGTGGAACCATTTTTACATTTTAAATTTTATGAAGAAATGTGTGCTAGAACTTTATTCAATAACCCATGAAGTTGATTATTGTCTTAATAACTAATTTTCTTTTTTAGCAAACCTCTTATTAATAGCCCCAGGCTTTCTTATGGTATGGATGTCTTCTGCAATGCCGAAGCTTCTATCCAACGACACAAATATCAACCCCTTAGGAGAACCAATTTCAGTACCGCAAACCTCAATACTGGCAAGCATCCCAGCCATAGCAGGCACCCTGGGACTCTTACCATGGGCAAATCTCATAGATATCTTAGGAAGAAAAAAAACTTTAATGGTTTTAGCGATAATTATGTTTTGTAACTCAATAGTAGTATCTTTCGCTTCCCATATTTCATTTTTCTACTGTCAAGGCTTTATTACTGGTTTCACTGGATCTGGAGTTTTAATTTGCGTTTCAATATTTAACAATGAAATCGCTGCTGTTACAAATAGGGGCACAATAGGGTGTCTTATGGGTTTAAGTGCACCGTCTGGAATACTTTTGGGGTACCTAATTGGGCCAGCTGTTAGCATCAGAGGGTACTTTTTATTTTCGACGATACCACCTGCGTTGCATTTAATATTTTCTGTATTTATTCCAGAATCTCCGGTATTTCTAGCTATGAAAGACAGGAAATTGGAATGTATGCGTGCTTTAGAGCGACTTAGAGCGATTAAAAATGCCAAAACAATAGAAAACGAGTATGACAAGATGGAGACAGTGGCAAAAGATGCTTCCAAGCAGAGAAAGGGCAATTTTTTGGATATATTCAGAAATAGATCACCCAGGAAAGCATTTTTTATGTGCTTTGGGATAGCTGCTATCCAACAGTTTTCTGGTGTGTATGTTATACTACTTTTTATGGGTACGATTTTTGCAAATGCGGGTAAAATTTCGGGTGGGTCGTTCGGAATTGTGACTGGAATTGTTCAGCTGTTTATGGTGTTAATTTCAGCCATTGTAGTAGATAAACTGGGACGAAGGCCGTTGTTGTTGACATCAACGATGAGTTGTGCGATCGCTTTGTTTCTTCTAGGTTTCTACTTTCATTTGCAACAAATGGAATCAGCTGTGGTGGACAGTTTAACGTGGCTACCCATTTCATGTGTGCTTCTATATATCATTGGTTACGGTTTTGGTTTAGGGCCCATTCCTCCAACTCTTTCAAGCGAGCTTTTTCCGAATGATTTGAGAGCTATAGGTTGCGCTACCGTCTACATAGCTGATCACTTGACGATATGCGCTACTATGTTGACTTTTCCATTAGCTTCTGCGTTTCTGGGTGTACAGTATTGCATGTGGTTTTTTAGTATGTCTTGTTTTCTGGGATTCATAATGATATTTTTTGTTTTGCCTGAAACTAAAGGTAAAAGCTTTGATGAAATACAAGAAATTTTAGCTCATTAGTATTGTATATTGTATATAATTAAGTTAATAAAATTGTACATATCTGTATTTTGTTTTATTTTTTAACTACTAGGTTTTAATTCCTGGTGTCAGTAACTATACAAGAGTAAAAAGTTTTGGTGTTCCGCAAAGCACTGTTCTTAGACATTAGACCTTTGATTAGGTGGGGTAATTACACTCACCAATAAAAAACCAGTTTGTAATTCTTTAATTCGACTAAACTTTTTTTGTACTTGCACTTTTAGAAAAATTTGATATACAGGTTGATTTATATAGACATTATTAAAATGAACAATTTTCTCAAAAAATAAGAAAACTAAATAAAATCACATAGATTTATGTTCGGTTCATTTCAAACGATCTACCTATTTGAGAAAGTACCCACAGACACATCTCCAACCATTCATTCGAAAATCTGATTTTTAAGCATGCTAACAAGACACAAGTGGATGAAGGGCCAATGTAACATTTTTTTTAAATAGTGTTTTTCAGTGAAAGAAGGTCTTATGTACCTAAAATTCGTTTAAAATGTCTTCCGTGACAATAAATCATCAAAATATAGAAGTTACCAGTGGATGAAGGACCCATGTACTAGGGAATAACTGCCAAATAATAAACTTTAACACGAAATATCTTGTAAAAATTATTTTGCTACATATGCTCTTTATCCACTTGTGTCTTCAAATATGAACAAGATGTGATAAGGACGAATGTAGTGGTAAGGGATACACCTTGTACGATGTGGGATAGAAGGTATTGCAGGACAGACGTCATTTAGAAAGAGCGTTTTAGGAAAGGTACAGACTATATCTGGAAACAAATAATATCTGGTTTGTTCCAACAATGATCTTGGATCAATACATAAACCAGTCCAAAACTTATTGTTGACAATCTGTCGAGGACTAGCAATTGACAACCTGTCAGGTATTGGTCAGGGATTGAGACTCAACTCGGAACTCGATTATGTTTTTTAAATTCAACAGACGTAATTATAACCAACAGCATTTTCTGTGCTTTAGTTAGCAATAAACAAATTAATTTTTATTATTTTCATAAAATTTTCTAAAATCCCTAACTAAATATTTTCATTCAAACCGTGTCTTAGTATGCCCTTAGCCCTATTTAGCTTTAATTAAAAATAATTAGCCCTACCCATCAAATTTCAACACTTATCATCAATAATTTGCATTTTACTTAAATAGGAATAAATAGTAAATAATGTATCAATTAAAATATGTAAGTAAGACTTATCTAGAAACAAATACAACACTATGTTCTGAGCTATAAACAAGTTTATTTTTATTATTTTAACAAAATTATGTATAATTCCCATAAAAAGCCATGTATTTTGAACTACGTAAACCGTACCAGCGCCCATGCGGTTAATTATAAAAGCTCAATTGACCGTATTTTGACGAGATCACATACTTTGATTTTCTTTTACACGAGATGCTAAATGCCACTGGTGGCTCCATATAATGCGCATGCTCGCTAAATTGTCATAAGAATGATGTAAATATACGTGGTAAAGTTTAAAAACATGTAAAAGCAATTTTTTTACGTATTTCACTAATTATTGTCAGATATAAAAATGAAGGGGTTTTTAAAAACTGTTAATACAGTAAGTAATGATATTAAAAATAGGTGTTAATTTTTTTAATGTATATAACTGGTATTTTAATAATGGAGCGAGTTTTAAAAATTATTAATGCAGTAAATAGAATATTCAAAATAAGTGATTAAAATGTTTTTAATATAAATAACTGGTATTTCGAATTATTTTCTTAATAAAACGAATAGTGTGATTTTAATTTAATATTTATACAGTTAAACTTAATGTTTCTTTAATCATATTTGTAGTAGATGAGCCAGATTTGTGAATATCCGACCAGGCCAATAATGATTATAATGTTTGTTTAGGAAAATAAATAAAACACAAAAATATGGTGTACCTATATTTTTAAGAAGTTTATAATCTTATATATCTATATCACATATAGGTGCATATATAAAAATAATAATACAATAACTGAAAATAAAAATAATTTTAAAAAACTTAAATAGTGTATGTGAGGCTATTATTGAAATAAAATGAAAAATAAGTTGTTCATAATAGGTAAGTATATCTACTCCACCTATATATGCCTACGATGGATGTCAAAACAATGGCTAATTATAATTACATATATAGGATAAAATAATTCAAAATAATCACCAACTTACATAATACATAGGTGTGCAGATTTTTGAAAAATCGTTAATTTTTTCTTTTTTATTATTGTGGTGGAAATTCTCCTCATGAACACCTTCCCCTTATGGTTGGCATCTAGTATGGGACTCACAGCTTGCTTTGTTTAGAGCACATGCCCACTAAAAACAGCACATAGGTCCTATTGTTCCACCCTGAAATTGCCTGTTATACCAAGAATTTTTTTTTCAATCTGAACAGAAATAAACCTAAAAGTTGAAAACATCCCTTATAAAGTACCCTAGAGATGCTCCGACTATGTGCTAATCAGCTCATTTCGGAATGAAAAAAACCTTAAGTTTAGAATTTGATGTTATTCTCTTTATCAATTTTTGAATTATCGTGGATGCAGATAGACATTATCGCAAAAATGATCAAAACGGGGAACAATATTTTTATTGGAAGCTTTATTGCTGCTGTTCTTGAAGACAATCATATTTCTGTAACTTAACAAATGTCTGATTTACTTTAACAAATAATTTTTTGATCAAAATAATCCATTAACCCAAATAAGATGATCCTTGTTTTTAGTAAAGATATTCATCTCTTTTAACATCAAGTTTCCAATTACCTAGACTGAAATATTTTTCATAAAAAATGGTTCCTAGAGACAGACTAATAGTTATAAGACTATACATTTTCATTAAAAAACTTCCATGAATTTTATCGATCATATAATTTCATTAGGTATGTAATTAGGCAATACAAATGTTTCGATATTAGCCATAATCATATTTGGAATGTTAATTTTAAACTTGTGACTATACCTAATAAAATAATTATATAACCAATAAAAACAAAGTTTTCTATTGAAAATATATATTATGTATAATAATATAGTCAAATTATTAAAAATAAAATGAAACCAAATCACATTATTTTACCTGATTTTGTATACACTCGCAACGCAAATAATTTTGAAGCTATTAGCACAGCTTATACAATACAGCTAAAACACTCTCTTGGCGGCAACGGTTTGCGTCGATTTCGTCGCGCATCGCTTAAGCTCCGCCTTCGGAGGGAAAAGACGGTTTTGGCGTTCAGAAGCGTACTTAGGTAAGGTGTTGAGTCGTGAGTATAATTTCGTTGATTGTATAATTTCTTGGAGCCTATAATTTCGTTGATTTTGTTTGAGTTAAAGGTACTGTTATTATTTTGGTGACTTTTTAGCTGTTAGTAGAATGAGTGAAAAAAAAAAGACATAATTCTGTTTGTGCAGTCAAAAGCTGTTTTAATAAGGGTTATACCTGCAAGAAAACATTCTTTAGTTTTTCCAAGGACCCAAACCGATAAGTACCACATTATAAGAAATTTTCATTGTTAAAAATATAATTTATACAGGGTGTCCCATTAGTGCGTTATTGTTCAATATTTTGTTGTAGACACGCAAAAAAGTTTTAAATAAAAGTTATATGGATTTGAAAAATACCTACATATTTTAAAAATATCTTTGGATATACAGGGTGTCACGTTTTTGCCTGGCAAATTAAAATGTATGTTTTTTAAATGGAACACCTTGTATTTTATTTTATGATGAAATTATTAACACTCTAAATTATTGTAAAGACGAGTTGCTAGATAAATTTAAGGAATGAAAAATTAACTTTTTAAAAAATTTTATTTTACTTAACAAACGTTTTACTCTGATAAAAAATAAGGAATGACAATTTTACAATTTTACATATATTTATAAGTTAGCTTGTGCTGACGAAGCAGGTCGAAGACCGGCTTGCAAGCTTGCACTTAGAGTTCATATAACTCCTCCCCTGTTAGATGAAGGCTTCGGGTTCTTCAGAAGTCGAAGGCTGAATAATTTTGGGTTCCGTTTCTTTTTTGAATAATTTCTTCATATGTTTGTTTTTCCACAAAAAACAGCCAATGGTTAGGATCACCAGGGTGCTGATAAAGGACCATTGGAGCCAAGTTTTTGATTTTGGTTCATTGATGTCATCTATGGAAAATTGATTGATAGCTGATATTTGATTTTGAATTTTGTGTATATCTTCTAATGGAATGCTGTCTATAGATAATGGTTTTTGGTTCAAAGTATGAAGATGTGCGTTGTCACTATGGATAGTATGTAAAATTAGTGGTTTTCCGAAAGTTCTGGTTGTGCTGAAACCAAATTTATAATTTGAAACTTCAATGCTGCAATTTTTGGGAACATGGACCAAAGCGTTGTTGCGAATTGTGATGTATTGGTCATCAGGACATCTAGATTTGATTTTCATTTCTTCTGTCGTAATGATTATCAAATATTCATTATTGACTTTATTGAATATTTGGATCGGATGTTGAATAGGTGTATGGATACAGGTGGCTTCTTCATCTTTGATGAGGGCGGCAATGCAAACGTCGGTTTTAGTTTCTAACTTTTCTTGTTGACAAATGTAGTTTTCCTCCAAAGGGATGCAGATATCTTCCATATATATTGGTGTTTCTCGTCGGTTAGAGCCAAATAAGGTTTTTCGGGTATGATAATGGTATCGTTTTTGGTAGGAATTGGGTAGAGGTGAAAATATTGGAATAATTTTGGAAAAACTATAGGGATTTCTATGGCAAAAATTATTTTATCATTTGTGAAATAACAATTTGTGAATATTATGGAATACCAAGAATTTAAATCTATATTTAAAATTTCGTCAGTTTTGTAATTTTTTCGTAATTTACTTAATGCATTTTTTAGTTCTCGTGGCGTTAATATATCCGGGTGAATAGTATGTAATTTAGCGAAAGTTACGGCATTTTCTAA